GATTGATGGAACCTATTGTGTTGCCATCTTAATAACAACAAACGCAAGTGATTACCAACATGGAAGAGAGAATCTGTGTTTTTATTTTACAACAAAAGGCTGTCCTATGGGGACTTCTTTTCAACATAAACTAACAAACCTGCATACATGTGAACCTGCTTGAGAGCTAGGCACATTGACTTAAAAACAAAGCCTCTGCTGCTTTAAGGACAACGTATTTTTTTGTACTAGCTTAGGAGAACATGAAAGCTGTCAAAAGAGCTGGTATAGTTTTTCACAATCCCACAGAATTCATCTTGACCACAAGGAAATATCTGAAAACTGCATCAGAAAGATAGCATAGATCTTGTTTACAAAAAAAAGAAAGCAATTGAGTCATTGAGTCAAACAGGAATACAATACATTTTCTGGCTTCGCTACTGAATATTTATATCAGTGATGAATGAGACTACAAACGAAATATTTTAACATGAAGCTTTGCCTTGTTAACTGCATGATATGCCAAAACACCACCTACTGTAAATCACAGGGTTTAAGACCAGTATTTCTTGTTTAAACATGCTACTTGTTCAGCAGAATCACTTGTGTGAACAAGCAGACATTAATGTACACTAACTAGAGCAGCTTCACTATCCAACTGATAGAGTATAATTTAATAACCTCATTATCAGCATTGTAATTTTCAGACTGCTGAAATATCATATTTCTTGCAAATATTATACCATTTAAACACTTGAACATTTGACACTTCTGTCAGATAAAGTGCAGATAGGCACTTGAGCATTGATGAACACGCTTTTAATCCTATAAAGAAACTTCGTCAAATTATAAGTGTTTCAACACTTGATTTATGAACACCATAATTAAAATCCTTAGACCTTAAAGAAAAACAAACTCTTTATTATAATAACAGCTTTCTTCCACTTTTTTATCTTTTAATATTTGAGTTTACTTTTACGTGCTGCTATTAGCTATCAGTTCAGCACGTCATTTCTGGCTGCCAAAACAGAATACTTCTCTTTATAACCTGGTCAAATCTCAAAATCTAGATAAGCACCCAAAAGGATCAAAGTTTATTTAAATGCTTTTTATTCCAGAAAGCTATTGTGGGGAACCAAAAGAATCTGCTAATTTAACAGGTAGAGGACAATCATCACACAATTCAGTGCTTTCAGTTTCTAGGAAGGCCAGAAATGCTGTAATGTCAGCCAAAATATTTCTCCTCTTTCTATGAGCTGTCAGAACCAAGAGTTTGGAGACACACCATTAGAAAGAAAGAAAAAAAAAAAAAGCACTAGATTTTTGTATATGTTTCTGTAGTGATTCTGCTTCTACTTGAATTTTAGACAGATCTCCGGAGAGGGAAGAGATTCGTATTTTACCTGAACAAATTCATGGATATCATTCATTCATTCTCACAGCACCCACCAGCACAGCAGCAGCAAGTGTCAGCTTCCTAAAGTCAGTGCAATTAAAAAATTACACACAATCTTCACTGAAACTGCCATTTCTGCAAATGAGGCAGTTACACATTAGCATCCCTTCTCTAAAGAAATCTCTGTCCCCAAATTCCAGAAAAGGACAACTCCTTTACAAGCTAAACAAGTAACCTTGAATGAAATCCTAAAGCCTGCCAAAACTAGGATCTCCTAAACTGTCAATAAGAAACTCATTTTAAAGGAAGGAACTCCCAGTTCAAGTCATTGCTGCTGTACCTAGCTTTCTATCAAATATTTTTGAAATGTTACAAATCAAAAAGAAAAGAAATTAAAAGGAAAATGGCTGAAGAGGGTCTCCTTGACACGAGCATCAGACTCTACAGGGTTATCTGCCTTTTGGCCACTAATTACAAAGCCAGAGAAGTTCCTGAACTCAGCGTTACATGAAGTTGAAAAGCTTAGCATGTAAAAGATTAAGAGAAAAATAACTGCAGATAATGAGGACAACTGAACAGAACCATATTACTCTTGCTCAGCGGAGAGGCTGAAAATCCACTCCTCAAATATTACCTCTAAAACATAACAGATAAATTTTGGTAGCCTTCTAACAAGCCGTTGTACTGCTCGACTGAGATAAAATAGATCATGCTGCCCTCTTGTGCTAGACATGCACAGAAATCAACCCCTTTACTCCTGCAAGTGACACATGAAGAGGGATGCATGCAACTCCCTTCCTGGGATACGGATACAAGAGCAAAGGAAGTTTCAAGAGAGTCAAATTCTACACACCCAAAAGTTCTGTCAACAAATGCAGACAAGTCAGACATGATGAAGCCCAAAATACAACCACATAATCTCTAACTTCCCACTAAGCTTTCACTATAGCTGTTTAAGTGATGCTGTATAGATATCTGCTGATAAATTTGAATTTCAGTCATAAATGCCCCATTGTTATTTCTGAATGCTGGCTAACACAATTAGCTTTAGTCCCTTAGGATTATCAGCTCAATAGGGTTAGGTTAAGTGCTCATGAAAGAGACAGTTGTTTATTAACAAGGTTCTTCCAATGCAAAATATACTTAAAGCATTAGTGAGTATTTTTAAAACTACGACAAACTACAGAAAGGTGAAATTTGTGTACATACAAACATTTTTAGGTGAGAAAGAAGAAAGGAGAAGGTTCCTCATAGTCTTCTTTTGTCTCTGCTACGCAATCCAGCTTCCAAAAATACATCCAGATTCTCGTTTCATCTGGGCATGTTAACATTCCCTTTACAACCTCACCCTCCCTATATATTGCTAATGCAATCTGTAAAGAAAGATTTTGTGTTCGTGCCTAAATTGATTCACAAAGCATCATATTTTAGAAATAAGCCATCCCATTTATTCACCACGACTGATTGGATCTACGCTGCTGGGAGCTGACAGACATGTCATGATTCACCACGTATTTCATTTCCTAACGTCGACTCTTTGATGCTGCTCATTAGTCTGTTTCCCCAATAAGAACTATCAGGAGCTTGGGGTGTCTAGTTAAGTTTCCTTCCTCGAGTGTGGTGCATAGATCATCATGTGCCCAAAATACTGAGCATGGCATTTTTTTAATTGCGGATTATTTTCGGATAAATAAAACAGCTAAAGTCAGTTCAGCCATTGCTTCTGTGCAGGTCTTAGAGACCTCACACAAATACTGAGAACACTCTGGATGCTTTAAATGACAGATCTGACCCTGCAGTATCACAGCTTTGCTAACATGAGATGTGATAACCAATAGTTTGGCTTGGCTATTGCAATCACAAGCCTAGAAGAAAGAGCCTTCAATAATTTCAATTTCTTTTTACTATGTCTTTCACAGTAAGGCACATTAAAAAAAGAATGAAAAAGAAGAAAAAAAAAAGCTTCTAAACAAATCTCCCCCAATACAAAAAAAAACAGCATGTGAAGTACTAAAAGATAAATACACAGTGAAAACAAACATGCAAATCAGACAATGAAACACAGATGTTAAACCCAAGAATTTCAGAACTGCTACATGCTGCAGTTCTGAACCAGAGCATCGTCTCACATGTCATCTTTTCCCTTTTCTTTTTCCCTTTTTCAAAAGATATATAGATCAGAGCAGCAGCACCTTTGAATGCTACCATGACCAAAAAAAAAGATGAAGGGAAAGAAATACACGCACACTGAAGTTAATCTTCTGTTATAACATCTCTGCTGATAAATAGAAACACACATCTGTAAGTCACAACTGTGTGAATACCAGTGATAGGCAGATTTTATGAATGTCACTTTTACAAGGCACTGCTAATTTGAGCTTCACAGTATGTTACAAAGGAAACTGTTATTTATTACTCTACATTGTCACTGATGTTTAGTTTGTAGTTCTTAGTTTGTTATGCAGAGCCAGGTTTATGGGCATTCTTACATGGTAATTATGTGTTCTCTCAAATAACACAGATACTGAATATGCTGCACACACACAAAAAAAACAAGAGAAGAGGAAAATCCCTGCCCATCTGACAGTACCCCCATCAGCACCATGTTTTCTTCTGATGTACGTGCTCTCACTAGCTCTCCATTAACCTGTCCCCTGAGCTTATGGCTCCACTTCTAACCCTTTGCAAACGGTCTTAAACTTACACCACCACAGATTCACAGTACAAGCAGACCACATAATGCAGCCTTAAACTTCTGCAGTTGTAGATCATCTCTGTTTTTTTTTTAAAAGGGGAAATTGTACATGTTTCACTGATCACATTATGGACATGAACCTTCTCTCCATGTGAGTATTTACTTCCTGAAAATACCACCAATTTCTCTGCAGCAATAAAGCCTTCCCTACATGCCCTTACAATCATTAAGGGACTTCTGGAACTATGAGAAAAAGTCTATGTTCCTTCTATTCAAAGAAGTGAAGACCATCAGCTTTCTGTTTCTCAGGTAACACTGGCTAGCAAATCAGTACCAACCTACTTCCCTTCTCTTAACTCTGCTTCAGCTTCTCTCTCATTTCTTTTGAAGAACATCAGGATGTGGATTATAGTTTTAAATTGCATGCTTTACGTTTTTGTATATTCTGGAAGGATAGTAAGCTATACAGTTTCTCAAAATTGTGAATTACCACACATGCTTAAAATTATTTTTTAAAAGGGCAAATAACTGTTGGGATTATGCTTTCAAAGAAAAGCACAAGAAAGGCAACTCCACAAAATGCTTGCATATACATTCAGCATATGGAAGACACCACTGTTTAACTGAAGCAGAACAGCAATGCAACCAGCAGGTCAATGTACACCACCACAGCCACAGGTAATTCATTTTTCTGGAAACTGCATTTGAAGAGAGTAAGATCAACCACAAACGAACAGTCAACATTCTGACTTCTAAATTTAAAAGACCACACTGTTAAACTCAAAGATTTTAAGCAAAAGAAGAAAAAAAACCAAACCATAAATATGAAAAAAAAAAATTATAAAATCATAACTGCCCAGAAAAAAAAAACAGTTAACTTAATCAATGAGGTACTTTAATAGTAAAAAAACTCTTAACATTTAAACTTACCAATAGGATTTCTGTCAAAAAACAAGACGGGAGCTTTCAAAATGGATTGAAACATTTTGTTGTGCAAAGTCTGACCAGAATTAACAAGAACTTGAAACATCAGAAGACTTCTTATTATGCCAAACAGTATTGTAGCCACCGTTAAACCTGAAATTAAAAAACACATGAGCATACAGATATGGATCTTACGCAAGGATAAGAATTTAAAACCAAAATTGAACTAAAACCAAATTTTGTTGGCTTCTGTATATAGCAAGAATTCAAACTTAAGTCTAGGGACTGTGCACAGAACACAGATATCTTGTATTTGTCACTAGCTCCAGTTACTATTATATCAGCGATTTAAACAATTTCTCTTTTTTGGTTTGAAAGAATTGGTACTTTACAGAAATGTAGGAAATATCTGTTAACCCATAAAATAAATCTGTATGAAAATCTTCTGCATAACAGCTCTGCTAAGAAATTCATTTCACAGTACCGTGTATAATTGTGGCTTGCAGAGGTCACTGTGAAGATTCAACATTTGCCAGCAGGTATTAACCAAGTAATATATACATGGCTATTTAGAGACAACCTTGAGTTATGCTCAATCAGCCCAAACCACTCATGCCATTCCTCCCCTTGTAAGCCACATCAAATCTTTAAATTATGTGTATTTATTTCTTTAACACAGTCTAAGTGTGGCATAAATCCCTTATGCCATGTGAAATAAAGCCCTTCCAGGGAACTGGGCTGCAGGTTGTTTGTCTTTCTTCTGGGCACATGTCCACTAGCAAGACACAGGTGCTACAGGGCAAAAGATGGAAACAAAGAATGATGAGATTGCTGCTTCTCTGTTTGCTTTGTGTAATCTCCAGTGTGGCTGCCCAAAATGAAAGTGTTAACCTGACATTTGGCAGGGCTACCAGGTTCCAGGTGACGTGCTCCAGAGACTAAGCATAGCCACCACAAGCCCAGATGCCCAGGCCCTGAGGACACACTTAAGTTAGACCCAAAGTATCAACATAAAACATTGCCTATTCTAAGGACAGGTTAAATCCAGACACAATTCAGGTACAGCCATTACAATAACAGTGGGAAAGAGCGAGGCTTACAGTTATATCAT